CTTGGGGACTGGATAGTTTCGTACTGCCTCAATCTTTTGTCTGTCCATATGGAGACCTTCACTATCGATCACGTGCCCTAAGAAGGAGACGCTTGTTTGTAGTAGTACGCACTTCTTCGCTTTGAGGCGTAACCCGGCTCTCCTCATTCTGTCACAGATTTCCCGTAGCAGTTCTAGATGGCGTTCTCGTGAATCCGTACAAATCATCACATCGTCTATGTAACAGAATACTTCTTCACCCAGTAAATCTTTGAGCACTGTATCCATCAATCTTTGGAAGACCGCTGGACTAGTGCTAAGACCGAAAGGGGTTACTCTGAATTGATATAAGCCCTCTGGCGTTGTGAAAGCGGATTTGTGTTTCGTGTTCTCCTCCAGTGGTATCTGCCAGTAGCCACTGCACATGTCTAGCGTTGAGAAGTACTTCTTGCCTGCTAAACTTCCCAAGATTGCGTCTATAGTTGGTATTGGGTAAGAGTCTTGTTTTATGCACTTGTTGAGTTCACGATAATCGACACATAACCTGATGCTACCATCTTTTTTCTCAACTAGTACAATAGGGAATGCCCAGTCTGAATTGCTCTTTTCTATGATTTTTCTGTCCTCTAAATCTTGTAACATTTCCTTCAGCCTTTTCCGTAAGCCCAAAGGAACTGGTCGTGTCTTGAGTTTGACTGGTTGGCTATCCCCTGTATCTATACTCATCCTCACTAGGTCGGTCTGGCTTAGTTCCTTTTCACATACAGCAAATACGTCGGCATAGCTGATCAGAAGGCTTGTAAGATCTTCCTCAATGCTGTTCTCTTTTCGATTTTGCTGTATTTGCTCTTGGAGTAGTTTTTGCTTCTCGTCGATGCTTATTTTGAAGCTTTCCTGGTCCAACATGGTGCAGTCTTCCCACTTGGTAAGCCATTTTTCGGTTCCCCATTCGCCGAGTTTCTCTCCTTTCTTGATGACGAAGGGTTCATGTTCTCGGTTTTGTATAGGTATAGTGATTTTCTTGTTTCTTACTTTGTATATTCCACTATTTAT